GCTTGAACACAGTGCAGAAGTAGTGCAGCGCCTACTTCATCATGTCGCCCTCTAGTGGAGGGAAACWCTGGACTCCAACAGGGGAGGAACCTTCTGGCTGATTTTAGATTCTTTATTTCAACATTCTTACATGAACCTCTCAGGTTGGTTTTCTGGGTCAACCAGCACTCAGTCAAAGCAGCTGGTTTCTGAATTCACTGRTYCAGTACTTACTGTGTACTGATGGAGTACTCATTGGGTATTGACTGAGTACTTACTAGGTACTGACAGAAGTCACTGGTTAATGACAGAGTACTTACTCAGTATAGACCAAGTACTTGCTGGATATTGACAGTATTGTAAGGGTACCTACAGAGCACTTACAGTGTACCTACAGAGTACTTACTAAGTACTTATAGAATACATAGAGTGATATTTACAGACTACTTACAGGGGACTTACAGGGGTACTTACAGAGTACTTACAGGATTCATGCAGAAGTACTTACAGATAACTTAAAGGATACATACCCCTGTACTTAAAGGGTAACTAAAAAGGTACTCAGAAAACAGTGACAGTACCTACAGAATTCATACAGGGGTACTTACAGAKTACTTATAGGTTATATAGAGTGACATTACAGAGTAAACCAGGCTGTTGTATTTTGTTTTGAACTAACCTGTCTCTACCTAACAGATGTTCATCACATTTTTCTGAAGGTTTAGAGTCTCTTCTTCAAATATGAAACCAAAAAGGCATAACCAATTTATTCAGTAGGAGATACTTTTTATACTTTGATAGTTTTGATATGTGCCTCTCTGTGCGTCATTGCTGTGTGTGTTTCAGGTTAGCAGATGGACAAAGTTTGTCCAATGCAGCACTGTAATGGAACTAATACTTTTNGTAAACATCTTAAACTGTTTTTATTTGGTTGATTTTATATTCATTTATTACGGTTTTATTCTGAAGGTTTTTACACTTTTAAGTAAATAAAGTTTTTATTGTTTAAAAGCTGATTTTTAGCAGAGAGCGGAACTAAAAACTAAACTCGGCGCCGTCGTCGGAACCTTCCAGCCTAACTTCCGGCGGAAGTAAGCACTGCTAACCTGTTAGCCGGTGGTTTCGGGTCTCTGGGGGAGTATTTGGGTCAGAATGTCTCCGGTTCGGCTCCTCAGGGAGTTCATCAGCAGCAGGCTGACCGCCGCGGCTGAAGACATCTTCTCCGAGTTCGAAAAGACCATCCTCCGGTACCAGGAGGAGCTGGACCGGTACCGAAACCCGCCGGAGCTCCGCTGGAGGCCGCAGCTGAGTCAACATGGAGCAGGTCTGAGTCTGAAGAGACAACAGCTGGAGCAGACTGATGACGTATTTAAAGTTGTTAAATTAAACAGGATTTATTGTTGTTGTTGTGTGAACGCTCATGACCCTCAGAGGTTTAAGCTCAGTCTGTTCAGGACGACCCTCAGCTACGACCATCCGTCAGTTAACTGCAGGAACTGAACTGAACTCAGTTTCAGTTTCTTTAATCTGCTTCAACAGATATTTTGCTAACAGACAAACAGACACATTGTCACCCACCTGTGTGGCAGCAGACTGGATCAGAACCTGGACCTGCTGGGGCCAGCGGTCCAGACTACTTCCTGAAACATCAGTGAGATTTCTGGACCCAGTTTGAAAGTAGACGACCTGCTGCAGCTGGATTAGATCAGAACCGAGTAATCCAGTAATGGACCGAGTCTGAGCTGGACCTGAGTCAGTCCTGGACCCTGGAGGCTCTCAGGTCTTTGGCTCCACCTTCTGGTGTTTCTGTGACGGTGCTTTAATCCTTCACCTGCTCAGATCAAAGAGACGTTTGTTGTTGTTATTGATCTTTGTTTACATTGTTGTTGTTGTTGTTTATTATTTACAGTTTGTTTACTGGTTTCTCTGCTTCCTGCAGAACTTCCACAGCAGACGTTCTGCAAGGAGGAGGTTCCGGCTCAGCAGAGGAGCTGCCGACTGGACCGGGAGGAACCAGAACCTCCGCAGACCCGAGAGGAGCGGGAGGACCTCCGGTCCAGTCGGGACGTGGAGCAGCTGGTTCTGAAGCAGGAGAACGATTCCTCCAGCTTTGTTGGAGACCACCATGAATCCCACTGGTTCCACCTTCAGAACCGGGCCGTGGCTCAGGACCCGGTTCAGGCAGAACACAGGCAGGGACCTGTTAGAACTGCAGAACTGAAACCGGATCAAGTACATCCCAGATTGAGAGGAGACTCGGTACCAGAGTGTCACTTTGGTCCGAGTGTGAACGTTTGTAACGTCGGAGAGAAACTCTTCTTCTGCAGCTTCTGTGGGAAAGACTGCAAACAGAAGAAGAAACTGACCCAACACATCAGAACCCACACCGACGAGAGACCGTACGCCTGCAAGTGGTGCGAGAAGAGTTTCCACCAGAGCGCCCATCTGATCGCCCACGTCCGAATTCACACGGGAGAGAGACCGTACGCCTGCAGCTTCTGTGGGAAACGCTTTAAAGACCTGCACACGCAGAAACGGCACATCAGGTCCCACACCGGGGAGAGACCCTACCCCTGCCAGACCTGCGGGGAAAGCTTCAGACGGAGGGAGCATTTACTGGTCCACATGAGAACTCACCAAGGTTAAAGTTCAGAACCAGGAACCGGTTCCAGGTGGAGAAACTCAAACAAATCTTGGACTCGTTCAGTTTTTGACCCACAGACCGTCTGTTATAAGACTGAACACTTTGTGAACTTGTAAAATCATTTGACAGATAAATTAATCTTTTTGTTTTTGATTGACTTGAGGTGAAGAAACTAGAGCTGGGTGGTTTACTGGGTCGTACCTAAAACTGTTTCATTTTCCACAAACCGGTACCTGGACCTGTTCAGAACACCTGTAGACTGTTTCCTGGGGACGGTTTTCTGTGCAACACCCCAAACATAAAACTCAGTGGGTGCTGGTTTGTTGTAAGTTTTAGAGATGAACTGGAGGGTTTCAGACAGCTGCAGTCAATTTCAATAAATCATAAACAAAAATAAATAAACTGTCTCTAATAATTCTGTTAGAATTTTACTTTTATAGCCTCTGGGGGCTAATCTTATGTTTTAATCCTCTGTAGACAAAATATTTTAGCATGAAGAGGATTGTTTATTATTCTGAGCTTAGGACTGAGACACTTGAATTAACACATTTATATAGTTTTACCAGCATGAAGCTACCAACCATAGGCTTAATATTTCTTTAAAACTGAGACTTAGCTGTAAATAACATGCTAACACTAGGCTAACAGTAGCTAGCGCTGATGCTAACACCATTCACTGTAGGCTTTCGTTTAGTAAAAACAAACTATGATTAAACAGTGAAACAACAAACTACATTTATAATTTCCAGGGTTCCCACACTTTGGACAACATCAAATTCAAGGACCTTTCAAGGACTTTCCAGTACCAATTTCCTCAAAGAACCACGCGTGACAACAATTACCTGCTGCTACCAGAGTGTCACCAATAAACAGGTTTAACATGTAAACTCAATGAAAAACTGAACACAGACGTCGAGTCAGAAACAATGACGTCAGTTTACAGTAATCCTGAGTTATCCACAACAACAAATCTAAGTTTTTATTTTATTATCATTATTTTTTAAAAGATGATGAAAATCAGTCGTGTGAACAGAGAATTTCAATCCCCAAATGACATTCAAGGACTTTCAAGGACAAGTGTAATTTTTGGCTGTTTTCACAAACTTTCCAGGGCATTGAAATAATTTTTTAAAATTCACAAACTTTCAAGGATTTCAAGGACCCGTGTGAACCCTGAATTTCACTCAGCAGATGCAGATTCAGGGTTTTAGCTGATATTACTGGAAGCTGTGTGACTCAGTGGTCTGAGCCCAGATAAAGTTCTGATCAGACTGAATATCTGGGATTATTGTTGATTAAATAAAACAAACAAAAACTCTTCAGTGGGTTTTTGAGCTTTAAAGCTGTTAGTTTAGGTGCTGAGCACGAACACTTTTACTACTTCCTGTTTCAGGCTAAATGTTTCAGTTTTCTTCAATTGTTGCAGCCGACAAAAACAACCTGAACTCGTGACTGAACTCAAACTGCCAGTTAAAGTAAAAACAAACTGGATTTGTTATCAGAACTCTCTGAATGAATGAATGAATGAATCTCTGGTTCTCTTTGTCCAGAGGAAATCTGAACCCAGCAGGAGGAAGTAGTGCTCCGTCACGTCACAGCCCGACCTTTTCTTTTTAACCATTATTTATCAGAACATGTAGAAACAGTACGACAACTCACAGTCCTGCAGGTCTACAGATCTGCAGAGGGCACAGCAGAGACATTTAGAGACGAGAACATCAAAGGCTAAATGATTTGATTTCTTTAACAGAAAAAGATCACTAAAAATCAAGCCTGACTCAGCATAATTGTTGTTTTACAGCAGGTTCCTGTTCTGCAGCACATAAAACACTCAGAATTACAGCATCACAACCACATCATTATACACCATAGACACAAAGACAAACATACCAAGAAAATGAAATGAAGTAGGAAAATTACAGACATACGCACCGTGTTGGCCCACCAGAACAAAGACTGCTCAGAGATGAACCTGCATCAGTTTCATTCAGGTTTTCATCTGTTTCATAGAGTTTACAGAACTATAATTATTTATTCATGTTTAATACGATCATCATTTATTGAGCGTTAAAAGCATTAAAAATCTAATCATCAATACCCCCCGAACACACACACACACACACACACACACACACATACTTACTTTATGGATGATCTTTAGGGTTAAATCACTACAGTTATACATGAATAAATACAGTAATGTGCACGACCCGATCCGACCCGTCAGCTCATTCCTGTTAAAACATCTTCATTTACATACAGTTTAATGCAGCCCAGTTGGAACAAGAACTGCAGTCAGTCTAGCTACATGCTACATGCTACACGCTACACGCTACATGCTACATACTACACGCTACATGCTACATGGTACATGCTACACGCTACATGCTACATGGTACATGCTACACGCTACATGCTACATGGTACATGCTACACGCTACATGCTAAAAACAAACAGCCCTCTCAGCAGTTTCTTTCAGTCATGAACAAATGAGCTGAGTGGACGGACCGGGCAGGGCCGGACTACAGAAACCTGTGGATCCGACCCGGGTCAGAGCTCTGCTGGAAACTAAAAAGTGTTTAAATAAAGTTAGTTTGAATAAAGACTGAAACAGGAAGTGCAGAGAGAACAAAGTTTATTTAAAGGCTGATTCCATCATTTCTCACAAACACATTCAGAACCGGAGCGGGCCTCTGAAATCCCTTCAGAACCAGAACCGGTCCTGGAGGTGAGCCTCCAACGTGAGAACAAACAGAACCTCTCGGTCCGGTCCGGTCCGACCCAACATTCAGAACCAGTTTGTCTTCATTTAAATACATTAGATTTTTGTAAATGCAACATGAAAGCACAAACACAAGAAATAGACACGTCCCGCTGAAGCTCAAACCCCTCCAAAATAAAAGCGGGTTCTTTGTTTTGTTTTTTTCCGTCCTCAGAATTCAAACAGGAAGTTCCTTCCAGAAATGCCGTGCTCACTTCCTGTTAGCACGAAGCAGAACTAAAACAGCTGCTGATTGGTCGATTCGCTGCGCTCTGATTGGCTCTCTCAAGAAAAGAGCCGGGACCAGAACCGACCCAGAACCCTTCAGGTCCGTGTTGAAAGCAAACAAACGGAGACGTTAAAAGAAACGCAGCAGAACTGAAGCTCAGGTTTTATTTTCTAAACAGGAAGCTGAACTCGTTTTATTCTGAAAGTTTTCAGACGTTAAACTGAATCATTTAAAGATGAAAAGAATCTGAACAACAACAGATTTTATCTTTTTTTAGAGTCGTTAAAAACACGAAGGCCTGAAAAATATTTACATCCTGACTGATGTCAACGTGTCTCGAAATGATTCATCAGATGAGTCACAAAACTAAACATCTGCATCAACTAAATGTTTTTATTAAAACACCAACAGCTGCAGAGTTCCTTCAAGTTCTGAGCTTACAGGTCCTCACAGGTCCAGTAACGGCCCGGTTCTGTTAGTGAGACAAACTGAAGGTGACATCATCGTCGCTGCTTTAAAGAATAAAACCCAAACCAGCAGCCC